AATACTGTACAGCAATTTGAAAAACTGTTACTTAAACTATATTAGTATTATCTATTGAATACAAATGTACAATTATTGAAAATTGATCCGTTTCCTTTAAAAATATCCTGTAAAGTTTCAGTTTCATTTATTGTCAATTTGTTGGATTTGTTAGAAAATGGAATTCGGCTTTCTTGATTGATTTCAGCTAATTTTATTAATAGAAATCAATAAAATAAAATAAAATAAAACAAACTATTAATAAATTACCTTTAAAAATTTCGCGTGCACTAGTAAAAGTTGATTTAAGTTCAATTGGTGTTAATGCTTGCTTATCTGGCATTGAAAAATGTGGCAAAGGTTCTAAAACATCTAAAATTCCATATTGTATAATTAGTATATTGAAAATCAATTTAAAAATTAAAATTAAAACTCACCCGAGCCTTCCATTTGATCATTATCTATAAGAACGTTCATTAAGTTGTTTAAACTAACATTCTGCATTTTTTCTTTAGTTCTTTCATAGCTAGTAAATCCTGAATTTGATTTATGCCGGGTAATTGCCATAACTTCATTGTCACTAGTACCAAGTTCTTTCAATATTCCTACTAAACTTTTTCGGGCGCTATGGTTGCTGATCTTTCGATTGCCAATATCAATACCACATTCTATTACAATTTCATGTAAAAAATTTTTTAATCGCTTTTCACCAACATGAAACTTTTGAAACCAACGATTATAAATAATATAATCTATAAATAAATAAATAAGTTAACTAATAAATGTCATATTACTGAAAAAAATAGCATAAAATGATAAAGTACATTGAACTCACCATCTTCAGACACATATTCTATTAAATAGAATTCTTTATCGGCATTACCTGGTCTTTTAGAAAAATATTTGTTATAAGTTTCCATTATCATTGGATGATATGGAATTCTTAATTTTTCATCATTTAATGAGCCATTAATACCCCTTTGATTTGTTTTACTTCGAGGAATATTTACATCAAAACCCTGACCATCAGCTCTAAACTTAAAATGAGAATATTGTAATGAATAGTGCTCACCACCTCTAAGAGCTAAGAATAATGCATTTAAAAAAAAGACTTTTTTTAACAATCCAGTGGGTGTGTCAATGTTTAATACTGGTGAATACAGTATTTTTTTACATTCTTCAACAGAAAGACCATCAGCTCCTTGAACATTGGCCTTTCCTTGTTCTGCTACATGTTTCATTTTGCCATCTAATACATCATATAATATTGGAAATTGTTTTCTTGAAGTAAAATCCATTGGAGATAGTGATGATAAATCATTTAAATGTCGGTTTAATGCATGTATAGCACTGAGGATAGATCTAGCCTTGTATTCTTCACCAGAATTAGTCTTCATAACTGTTACGAAACTACAGATTTGACTTTCTAATTCCTTTCTATCAGTAATATCTATGCTTTTACCAGTAAATCCAGCTTTTTCACGAAAGTTTTCAAATTGGTGAACCCAATTTGCTGTGGATTTATCTGTATTTACTACTCTTGACTTCTTTTTGAAAAAATTTATTTCGTCTTCTGTAGGTAAATAAAACTTGAATAGAAAATATTGTATTAGCAAATTAATATAACAATATTTTGGTAATAATAACAACATACTTTATCATTATTTATTTTATTTTTGTTAGTTTTTTCCTTCATTATTAAAATAAATAATAGAATAGGTTGAAAGAAAAAAATGTGTAAAGAAAAAGTAGGGTATTTAAAAAGTGTATATAAAAAAGAATGTGTAAAAGAAAAAACGCGTAAAGAAAAAATGTGTACAAATGAGTGGATTTAAAAGAAAGTTTAAATAAACTTTTAAACGCGTAAAGAAAAAGACGCGTAAAAATTGAAATTTAAAAGAAAGTTTAAATAAACTTTTAAAACATGATCTTGGTGGTCTGCCACAATAAAATCATTATTAGGTAAGAAGTATTCAATATTACCATTTTGACCATCAACATTATATGATTGGCCATTGTGCCACTACGTGGCACAATAACGGCCAATCATTTAACATCGACGGTCATAAATCTTCATATTGAATACTTCTTACCCAATAACTATATAATATGGCTCCTGAAATATTAAGAAATAAACCCTATACTCCAGCAAGTGATATTTATAGTCTTTCAATAATAATGTGGGAATTTACATCTGGTACTCCTCCATTTTATCATGAAGCACATGATCATCACCTTAGCTTGAATATTTGTAGGGGGAAACGTCCTGAAATTATAAAAAATACTCCAAAATGTTATATGGATTTAATGAAAAAATGTTGGGATTCAGATCCTTCTAATAGACCAACTATAAGAATGCTTGAATATATTGTATCTGAATGGATTAGATGTATTAATGAATATTATGAAATAAACAGGGATGGAGATTATAAATATTTAGTACCTAATATTGATAATCAATTAAAAGATGATATGCTTGAATTTGTAAAAGCAGACAAAACTTTAGTACAAGAACAAGCAAATACTTCTATTATGCAATCTCATCCACAAGCATATTATAGAAGTCGCAAATTTACTGAAATTTTAGCTCAAGAAAAATCTGAAATCGTAGTTCAAGAAAATTCTGAGTGTTTTGAATGTATAATTGAAAATCAATGATCTTGTTATTTATTGAATTATTTATTGGTTATTATATAGAAAATATTTATATTATTATGTAATTTACAATTTTTGCAATAAAATAAATATACTGTAATTAAATACAAGTATTATAATTATTGAATAATGTTCGTTTATACAATATTTTTATTTATTATTCCTTATAATTATAATGATTATGGTACATTTCACCTAAGTCTGTTTCGCATAAACTCATTTTTCCAAAGTCATTTCTCTGAAGGGAAGTTTTGGAAGTTTTGTAAAAGAGATATTTCATCAAATGGGAAAATGGGCATTTCGCTGACTAATCATCTATTTTGTTGGAGGACTGCCTAAAATGTTAGCGATTGACATATTTCTCTTATTTCAGAAAATTGGAGTATGGTGATTTCATTATCTTTTTTAAACTTAAGATCAAATAAAATTAATAAAAAAGAAATGAGTTAATATATCATATAAATAATTTATTTTTCTTTAAAATAAAAGGAAATTTAAGAAGTTCTATATCTTTGGCAAATGTCCCTTCACTGAAATGGCTTTGTTAAACGTCTTTCAGCAGAATAGCCATTTAGGGAGAATGTCCATTCAGGAAATTGTTTGTTGGCGAAATGGCACTTTAGTGAAACATCTCTAGCGAAATTTCTTCAGAAAAATGGGTTTTTAATGAAATGAACTTGGATATCAACTATAATAGCAACTTTACACCCAAGTATTATCATAAAATTTATTTATTGAAGTTGTATCATTTATGTTAGTCTTACTGAATCAACTTAAACTATTACCCCTAGTATTCCTTTCCTAATTGAGATTTGAGATTGATAGATAGTAAATTAGTGATGAATAGTGATTATAGATTTTTATGCAATTTTAAATTCCTATTTCAAAATTACAAATTCAACTTTCATTCATCATTGTACATAATTTGAAATAAATAAATTTATTTTGTATTGACTTAATATAATTAAATATGAAATAAAATAAATATATTAATTCAAATTAATCTAGTATGGAATTATCAAGAAATCCGAACGACTAAGGAATTTATGAAACATGATTATAGGAAAAAATATTAGTATGTAAAAAATTTATTTTTTACAATAATGTTATATGATTAATGGTTTATATATATTTTATAATTTTAATGATAAAAGCCACCAATTTAAAGTTCGTTTAATATGATCACATTTTGAAAAAAGACCATAAATAATCAATGGTAAAACATAGTGCCACATGATTATGTGACTTTTTTCTGAAAACTTCATATAAATGTTTAAATTTTTACTATTGTTAATTTATTCTCCTTCTTTCCCTCTTAAATACATATGAATATGTGGAGAATGTAATGAACCTGGGCAAGAAGTTTTTGATGTCAACCTTGTAATACTAAAAATTTTAAGAAAATTTTAAAAATATGACCAATATAAATAAAGAAATTGATGAATTAATTCCAAATTATAAAAATTTTATACTTTACGAAATGTTTTGAATGGATACATTAAAAATTCCTAAAGATATTACAAGATATTACTATATATATTACATGTTGTGGATTTAGTAAATTTATTTGGTGAAGGATATATTAGGTGTCGGGTATTGAGAATCAGAATCGATAAAAAAAATTCGTATTTCACGGTTGCATTAAAAGTTTGAATAATTCTTTTGATAAAATAAAAATGAATAATTCGAAATCTATATTATTTCATGTATATAATTATTTTGTGCTAATAAATATGATTTTTATATGAGAAATAAATTTGACTTTTTTCCTTATCTTTTATTAATGTTCATATTAGATCAAATCCATCTTATTTATTTTGAAGACGTTGTCAGATGTTTCGGTATAACTTAAGATCCAATTAATAAAAATTATACTGTATGATTATAAAATAGTATTGTTTAAGTATATTGATTATCTGAATTTGCAAAAGTCATTCAGGAAAAATACTAGTTTTTTCATACATAAGTGATTAGGAATGTGTCAACCAGTAAATGGTAGAAGGTATTGCCCTATATTGCACCAGAAGGTTTACGTAGATCAATATACATAAGGAGCTATTTGGAATAATAATAGATGAACTTCTTTCTAAAAAATTCCTTATAATAATATTTCTAATGATGAATTTTAAAATATTTAAAGGAGTTAAATAAAATTTCTAAAGATATACCAAAAATTATTGCAGGTTTGATAATGAAATATTGGGATACCGAAAAAGAAAATAAACCAACCATTGAAGAGTTACATCAGATATTAAAAAACTGGAATAATAAAATTAAAAATAAAGGTAGTGGAGATAGTTAAGATAGTGAATTAAAAAGTGAAATTTGTTTCAAATAAAAGAATGTAATAAAATTGAAGAAAAACAATTTAAAAGCGGATTAAGACATTAAATTACAAAAATCTCCCAAAATCAGTAAATTATCCTGTTTTTAATTTTAACTCGAATAAAATAATTTTACTAATCAAAATTTTTTTTTTTTAATAGGCATAATATTTGATCAGTATTAATATTGGCAAAGATATAATAGATTCAAATGTTTAATAATTCAACATAAATATTCTATATAATTATAGCATTATGTAGTAGGTTACCCCTACGGAACAATTGTAATATGATCACGTGTTAGTGCATTAAAGTAGGATCGACGCGTATTTATGTGTGTGCACGTAGGTTTTCTTATGTAGTATATCATTATATTATTTAGTTAAGGAGTGAAATAAAAAACAGTAAAAGATTCTGTCATAATTAATTTATTTTGAATTTAAACAAAAAATTTACAATTATTCCTGGCATAACATTGATATAACTAAGACTATCTTATAGACAGTATATGGTAATTTAGAAAAGTTAGAAGTCTGAATTCTTACACGCAACTATTATAAATATAACATGTGATATAAATTGATATTATGTAAATTTGATGTAATATGTGAGACAAGAACTTTCCAATAAAGGAACACGTTTATACCTTTCATTAATAATATGTGCCCATTAATATAGGATGCATTATTAAAAAACAATAGTTAACAAATTTTCGGCTTTACAGTACCTTTATGACTAATAAAATACTGGCAATATTTTTGTTTGTTCAAAATTACTTTACTCAACATATTTCATAACTACTTGTCGTTTTAAATATAAAAATTACTATCAACTTTTATAGCGGATTTAGTAATAAATGTATGTTGGTAAAATTCTCAAGAAATTTTTGATCTTTCTTATTACATTGAAAGTTGTTATCAGTATTTCTATTACTAATAAATCAAATGCCTTCTGCCAATCAATTTCATGAGGACTAATAATACCAAAAATATCATTTAATAGCACACAATGTAATATTTCAATTTTGTATTTAGCGATTGCCCAGTTACGATAATTTCCTGTAATTAAAAAACTCTTTCAATAACACGAATTCTTGAATTATTATATTACTACTTTTGAGTCTTAACATATAATCAATTAATAAGTGAACATTAATTTTTTTAATATCATCTTCTAAATCCTTCTTACCATTCTTCAATAAATGATTACTCAATCGACCATATATTTATTATCAAGATGTCTTCGTATATTTCTCTCATTTATAAAGTCAATACTTAATAAAAATTCTCATTATCTGCTCATTACATTACTATTAGAAGGAATTATTAATAATATTAATATTATATCATAATCATCCATTTGAACTATCATTCTCGATTTAGTTTATTAGTTCTACCAAAATCTTTAAACATTAACGACAAAGAAAATCACATATTCATCATCAGACTCTATTTTCTATTTTAAAATGCTATGACTAAATTAAATTGCATCTTTCCATATGAAGCATCATTTTCCTTAAAAATATTTCACGTTATAATCACATTTTGTTAATTTTAACATCTTCATTGAAACCTCCATTCTATTTACTTTGTTTTTCTCTGTTAACAAACTCTCTTTTTAAAAATCTACTATCACCCGTAGTAATTATATCTCGTATTATTTTATACCATTTTGGTTGCACTCCCGAAAAATTACATTCTAATATACTTCTAATTTCCGTCAAACCTCCTGATTTTCAAATTGATCGTGTCTCCAATAAAACTATTTTATTTTTCATTATAATTTTACCATTATCCCTAATACAACCTGTGATCCAAAGGTCTTTTGTAATTGTCTTATCTGTATATTAAATAATTTTTTCATCATCTTATTACCATTTGCTTGATAAAGTAAATTTTTACATAATATTTCTAGTTGTAAATCATATATTTTTTTAAACCTATTAAATCTTTATCATATAATATAAATTTGGAGACCATAATATTTTCACATTTTTTCTTAGTTAAAACTACTCACATCAGTTGAGATTCAATTCTAAGGAACAATAACGATGATTATTTGTTTATCGTTTAATTTTTTCCATCTCATTAATTTGCATCCTTTGTTAACTATAGTTTGTGTATTATTAACATAAAAGTGACGACATCAACAAAGAAATGAGTCAGCACATTGTGATCTTCAATGAGTCAACGAGTATCAATAGTTATTTTTAATATTTAAATAACCTCATGAAGCAGAAAAAAATTTTTTACCTTTCTTTTTTTCCTCTTTTTTTCTTCTATTATATTTCGTCAGGTATGGCAAAAGTAAGGTACAATCAATTCTACGTATTTCCACATATTCCACATAATAAAGCATACTTGAATGAATATAAAAGTTTGAATTTGGTAGAGAAACCTGTGTTTAATCCTTGATCCTAGTTCAAAATATTTATATATGATTATATGGGTAAAATGGGAAAGTTTATTTAAGAATAATTTCTTTCTCATTTTAGTGCCATGTTGCATAGGTAAAGGATTTAGAAGGTATAATACGTAACAGAAGAGGCACGGATCAGAAAGTCTCTACTCAATTTTTTCTTAATAAACCCATATTTTATTTTTTAATATTTTGTAGCTTATCATCCATTAAGGGCAGTGACATGTATTAGCTAATATTATTTTATACTTTCAGGTAAGATATTGCAACTAATCATTTTTCTTATAAATTTTATTGGTTATTATATGTCATTGCTCTTAAATAATTATAAACTGGTTGTAGCAGGTAAGCCTGAACGTAGCTTGCCACCTCTACATGGTGTTCAGGAGAAACAGCTATAGGTTAACTATATCTGGCCAAGAGCAAGCATTAATAAATATATGTTTTTAATTGTTAACATACTAAATCGTAAAAACTTTAAATGTGCAATATAACAATCTTTTATTGAATAAGCAAAGTTACAGATAAGTTACATGTAAAAGTAGAACTGTTTCTCAAAAATCCGTAATCACAGAAATTGAAAGAAAAATAGAAAATTACTATGACTTTGTATTTCTAAAAATGTTTTTCGATAAAAAATGATAAAAATAAGAAAAATAAATAATTACGAAGCTTATATAACATTTCTTGGATTTCGGAGTTTCTTCTAAAGGTAGGTGATGTGAATTAAAGAAATTTGTGTTATCCATTCAAGAAATCTTTCATCATTTTTTACGCCATAAATTGTATCTTTGATAAATCTATCAATATCATTATTTCCACTGGTCCAACCTTCAATCATTCTAAATGGGTCATATTCTTCACACCATAATTCTTTGGTAAATAGTTTATTACAATAATTACAACAATTATCAAGGTTGATGTTAGAATTATCGGAAATATTTAATTCATTAGATTCTGTTGAAACTCGAGTTTCATTCTCTTTATTCATATTATATTTGAAGATTTTAGATTTATTTTTATTTTTATTTTTTTTTCGTATATTTGCGATAGAAAATTATTTACATTATTAGGCGTATTTATATTCAATTAAATTTATGAGGATTAAAAGGAATTAGAATTCTAAATAAAGGAATAAAATAATGGAAATAGTATACCATACTTGTTATTGGGCTTCCATTTTAATCAATGAAATCAATGAAAAAGAAAATTAAAATTTCTCATAAAAAGAATGATTGGCGTCTTTTACGTTATTGAGCGTTATTTTTTTATAATTAATTAATTAAATCATTTAGATTAAAAAAAGAAATCAGTTTCCTAATAAAAGAATAAATAGTGTTATTGGGCGTTACAGGACCCGAGCAGTAATATTTTATTCCAAGAAAATCCAGAGCAATAGTAAGGATGCCTAAATAATGTGTAGATCCTTTTTTTTTTTGAATAATGTCAGCCGGTAATACGTAATTCTGTCCCAGAAGAGATGAGTGCCGATCTCTCTCTTGTTACCTATTTATTATTTCTTTCGTTAATTTAGAATCAATGAAAATAAATATGGAATCAAAATTCCATAAAATGGTTGCAACGGATCGGAGTCGGAGTTGGCAAATTCATGATGTCACCTTTACGGAAAACATGACACAAGTCGTAATTTTGACCGACATTGAATGAAGGTTTATTATCGAAAAATTAAACAGTAAAAATAGCGATTACATTTAGTATTTAATTCTTGAATATTTTGGATTTCATCGAAAATGATATTGATATTTCAAAGAATTAACCTAAATAAAGAAATGCGTTACAGTTTTTTTAAAAAAAAAAAGTCAGTCGTCAGATTATAGGCTTAGGTTCGTGGTACAAACAGCAATTCCCACAGCTAGTAATCTGACTAGCCATTATCGCTTCTTAATATTTATATGATTTAAGTCAATGAAATTTTGAATATTTTTTAGTATAACAAGTTTTCAACGAAATTAAAGTGAAGAGATTTGTTTGTTTGTTATAAATTTAATAGACAACTCACATACAAAAGACTAAAGAGCCAAAGAGGTATTGCAAAAAAATATATGCGGTAATTTATTCAGTCCGCTACTAATTGTCCGTCATATTGAATGACAATTTTTTTTATACGCAAATGAAATCACAGGATTTAAGTTCTCCGGAAATTTTATATCTAAATATTAAAATAAGTGGTCGTTTTATATGTTAAAAGAATATAGATTTTTCGCTAATAATATTTTTTTTTTTTTTTTTTTTTTTTTGACTATTTGTTCGTTACTTTAAATTTTTTTTTTTGATTATACTCAAAATTTTGATTAGAATTATCAGAGTAATAACAGAAAACAATTATTTAAGACGACCGTTCATAAATCTTTTTTTTTTCTTTAAAAAAAAGATATTAAAATTATAAATTTTATCTCAATATTTTGGATGATCGACGAATAACGATTGAAATTGATGATGCCATTGGCGCAAAAATACGTTGATTAATGAACAAATTAACAATTTCTTTGAAATGACATGAGTTTCTTATTCTATGTTGTATACCAATACTCGGAGGATATATTAATATACTGTAATTTAGGGTGGCGTAGTATATTTAATTGATATTTGCGAAGTTATTTACTATTATTGATAATGACAATTTTCATGATTAATTTATCGCCATTTTCAAAATAATGTAGTAGAGCATATTAATGAAAATATTTTCGTTACATATCGAAATTATGTAATAAAAACTACATATTTATATTGTAAATATGCAAAACTATAATAAAAATAAGTTATTGATTCTAAATCTTCTAAAATTGGTTAAGAAATCAAGAAAAATTTAACGTCCTAATTTGATATATGTCACACAGAATACATTGCATGTCGATCACGTGTTCAGAATTATTAAGAAATTTCACGATTAAAATCTGTTAGTAGATTTGATTATTTGACATTAATTAATTATATAAAGCACGAAAATTAATTTTTTTGTTTATTATTTCTTATAAATTATTAGTTATAGTCGTTCTGAATTGAGTGATACTTTTATAATCATACTTATTATTCTAATCTTAATGTTGAAGATAATTTTTCGGTATCTAAATATTTTGAAAAAATTCTTTATCATTTGCATCAGTAATTCCGATCGAATATTAGATAAAAAAATGTTTTGTTACTTTTTAAGTGAATTGTTTTGCATACTGAAGATCATAATTTTATCTTCTTAACTATCTTATAAATTTCTTAATAATTTTATCGTAAGATTAAAATAATAAGTTATCTAACCTATCTATTACAAATAAATAAAACGTTTGCACAATATAAGCAAGAATATTCTTTCAACTTGTTTTAATAATTTCGGGAATGTTTATGATATAAATTTACGATAAGATATTTAATTTTCGCCCAAATCAATATATGGTAGTAAATACATTTAATAATTTGAATAGATTTATTATAATTATTTAATTACAAACTAAGAATTTGTAAAACATTTACTACTCTAATCTTAGCGTTTAAATAATCCAACATAAAAAAATAAATAAATAAATGACAATAATTTAAAATATAAAAAAAACATTGTTAAATGATTCAAAATCCATCTAAAAATTAAAAATAACAAATTATAAATTAATTATTTGCTTTATGAAAAAATTTATTTTTAAACTTTATTTTAAGATCTTACCGTCAGGAATTTCCAGTTCATCTTGTTCTTTTGAATGAAGATTTGGATTATTATATACTTCGTCTTCATCTGTAAGAAATAAATAATTAAATTAAAAAATAATATAAAATTAAATTAAAAATTCGCATAGCATACCATCAATATCACCAATATTTTGTCTTTTCATTTGTTGTTGAATTATTTCTTTTTAAAATAAAAGTCACGTTATTTAATAAATGAAACTGATACAATGAATATTTTTTATTTCACTTATTTACTTACTATTTGAATTTATTTGCAACTTTATAAATTCTTCGGGTAATTTTTCACTATCACCTAAAATTAAGAATGTAGAAATAGATTTTAATATTTAATCTATTAATCTATTATTTCAAATAAGTCATTTTAATTATACTTATTAATTTCTTACTATACTGCTTATTTGATCCATTAAAATCGTTAACTAAAAACAAATATAATTCAATTATAAACCTATGTCATTATAATGGTAACGTTAATGATTACAGTACTTACTATTGTTAGGAATGTTAAAATCATACAATTTACTATGAAACACTATTAGTAGTAAAATAAACTATTTTAAAAACTAAATTATTATAGTAACCAAAAAATGGTAGAGATTATTATTTATATGATTATACCTTCTTGTTCTTCTATTATAATAAAAAGATAACATTAATAATGTATTTTAAAATAAATATATTCATTAATAAAATATTATACACTTATACCTTCTGTTGCATTTCTTGGTTCAGGTAGATTTTCAAAGTTGTGAATTTTACTTGTAAATAATCTGCTTCTCGTATAATTTTCTTTTACTTTATTCATTTCTAAATTATCTATTTCTGATTTGAATAATTCATAAGACATATTTTGATAATCTAAATTAATTTTATGCATTTTTTTCATAAGTGCACAAGCGTCAGGTCTTTTTAATGGATCAGCATCCCAACATTCTTTCATTAAATTTTTATATTCTAATGGAGTTCCTGGCACAATTTTTGGTCTTATACCATTAATAATATTCATTACAATATCATTTTCATGTTCATAATTTATAAATGGTGTTTGTCCAGATGAAATTTCCCACATAAGAATTGCAATACTATAAATATCAGATGCAAAAGTATACTCTCTTCCAACAATAACTTCGGGTGAAATGTAGGGAAGATTTCCATATATACTTGTTGAAGATTTATCAGCAGGTCCACAAAATCCAAGATCACTGATATACCAATAATTATCAAATTGTGAATACAATATATTTCCAGAATGCAAATCCCTATGAATTGCTTTCTCAAAATGAATAGAATAAAGTGCATGAGTTATTTCATTAATAATTTGATTCTAACTTTCCATGTAAGTTTATTATGATTTTGCTGTGAATATTTCCTTAAATCTATATCCATTTTCTTCATTACAAGCATACAATTTCCATTTGATGGATTTTGTGTTAAACCAAAACATCGAACAATATCTGCCCATTTATTACCTATAGTTAAATGTGATTTAGCCTAAATGACAACATGCTATTGTTAATACAAAAAACTTAGGATTTTATAAATAAATTTTAAATAAATTTTACAAACCTCTTCAAACCAACTTTGATTTGCTCTTTCAACATTTTCTAACGTTTTAAGTACTACTTTTGCCACTAAGTTTTGTATTCCAGGAACTTTACCTCTTTTTAATTCTTTTTTTTCAGAATCCCATTCAACATACTCTCCATTAATCCAGTCTGCTGTATAAATTTCAGCGAATCCACCTTTTGTCAAATAATTAATATTTTCTAATTTACTATATGGGATCCATTCAACTATTATATTCGGCATGAGTGATTCCATTTGACATTTCTGTATTAAATTATCAATATCATCATTCCCGGATGTCCAATTTGAAAAATTTTCTTTTAAATAATTTAGAACACAATATTCACAATATAATGTGGCTAAACATTCTTGCTTACAATTTTCACAAATTCTTTTTGTTCCTGAATTAAAAATAACTTTATCTCGATCATAATCTTTAGTTAACAACCTTATTGCATAAGTTTTTTCATCATTTGTAAGAATTTTATCAGCAAGGACTGTTTGTTTTTGAAATTCTAATTGTTTGTATATATCATTGTAAATATTAGTATCTAATAATGCAAGTGTTCTATTTTTTATTGCATAAATTAATCCATATCGAAGTGTGGACATAACGTAAACAATAAGAAAGAAATAATTAATGATTCATTTTAAGTAAGTTCACTCGAACTCCGTGATAAATTAGTAAAATGCAAATTGTTGATCAAAACTTCATATTGTGCCCACATAAATGTGATCCTAAGGCGTAGTATTTTTACGCCTCATAACCAAATATTTCGTATTTCCTAATTTTTTTATACTTAATGATAATTTAAAAATTAATAATTTACTTTTTTTTATTTTTATTTTTATTTTTATTTTTTTTTTTTTTGAATATAATTTGCGTTTAACAAATTTGATTGTCATACTTAATGAATAGATAGTATCCTTATTAATATTCAAATAATTAGATAAACAAAAATCAATGATTGTTATTCAATAGACTACAATAGACTATTAATTTGTAATTATTTATATCTTACTTAAAAATCAATGAAAAGCCAATTTTTTTTGTTATTTTCAATTGAATTTATCTGTTATTTTAGTGTAAAAATAAATAAGGGGTTATGTCAATATGTCATGGGTTTTCATGTTACACAATTCAAATTATTATATGGAGACTATTCTAAACGTCAGACATTTTGTTTTTAGTTAAATAGATTTAATGAATCTTGAAAACATATATTATTAACATGTATTAAAAATTAAAAATAATTTAAATCACGTTAGAATTTTAGATTAAAATTTTTATAAAATTCGAATTTATGTATAGTAATCGGCGATAAGACCTTTTTTTTTTTGTGAAATCTACATTACGGAGTGATTTTATTTTTTTTGACAGAAATTTGTTACCGAAATTCTTTGTGATCATCAGCTGACAACCTTGTTTGCCAAATTAAGATTGTCGGTGTTGTCGTACGACAGTAATACGTTTTATAATGCCGTGGCTTTTATTTTTTTTTATACTCTGTTTAAACATGGAGTTGATGTCACTTTTATTATCCAAATATGGAAGAATTTTTACTCAGTGACGATGTAATTAAGCAAATAAGAAGATTTTGGCTTTTGGAGTTTAACAGATGAAAGTTTGTTAATTAATAATCTAATATTAAATGAAGAATTGAAAAAACGTTATAAATGGTATAGCTTATGTAATGAATGTAAGCAACTCAAAACTTCTTATTTTAGGTGTCAATTGTATAGCACCAAACATTTTCAACAAAATTTCAAAAATTGGACTAGCGGAAATCATGAAGTTGACCAGTTTTATTCAAAAAGCACAACTTAAAGCTAGTAAATACAGAGAAATTTTAGAATGTTCGGGATTAAATATGATAGATTTGAAAATGTTGAATATTTAACTAACGGAGGATTTGGAACTATTTATAAAGCAATTTTGAAAGATAATAACAAATCTGTTGTTTTAAAATGTTTACATAATTCTCAGGATATTACAGCCGAATTTTTAAGAGAAGTGAGTTACACAGTGTACTTATATAAGATATTGTTATATATTGAAACTTTCTAATTTATAAATAATGTAAATGATAAACTAACTTTTATGAATTCTTAATCACATATTGTTCAAAATATATGTTTTATTAATATTTTTTTTGTAATAGAAACTTAATTTAAATTGATGTTAGAAAGGAATCGTACTACGTCTTTAATTTTAGACGAAGCTGTTAACGATTAAGGTTTTTCTCCGCAGTAGCACGTGATTACTGTCCCGCAGTTATGAGATTAATTTTATCGAATGTACGAGTTTACGAAATACATTCGTAAATTAATGAATAACAATAGTAGTTATAAAAATGCACAGTATATAAAGTAAAATTTATTGTATAAATGAGCCAGCCTTAGTACTAAGGGGCTTATACGAAAAATAATTTCCCTTGTAATATGAATTTATAAATCAGTTTATTTGTTCATAAAATAATTTTTATAAAACTTACCGCAGTAGTGCTCCTACCGAGTCAACTCGAGTCGGGTTTGGAGAAAATATTCGACCCGACCTAAACAAAAAAAGCAAGACCTGTAAGTGATCGGTTCACATTTTTTATAAACCGACGGCCGACCCTGACTCGACCCAAGCATAGTTAACTAAATTCAATGAATTGATCTATAAATGATCAATCAAGTAGATCTACTAAATTCGTGAATTTTAGCAATTAAATTAAGATAAAATTCATAATTTTATTATTAATCATTTAATATTAATATTTAATAAAGAAATCAATAAAATTTTAAATACAACAGTTTAATTTGATTATTGGTTAAATTTACTAATAAAAAAAAATGGTTCTAGTTGTTATGTTCTAGTATCTTTATTTTACTATTTTTACTAATAGCCAACTACAAGGTTAATTCCGGCCGATATTATAATTTAGCCAGAGTTAAACACATCCGGGTCAAAAACTGTGTCAAGGAAATATATAACCCAACCTACCTATCAGGTCAAATCAACGATCCTATCGAAAAATGGTAGCTGGATTTATATGCCGGTACAACATGCCAGTTACACGTGATTTCGGATAATTATTTACTTTAATTACGTCAAAATAGATAAACGATTTCACAAATCAAATATTCTTTCACTATATATTTAACTTTGTTAAGTCAATAATGCAAGGCTTGTAAAAGGTGTCATGTTCTTCGAAATCATAAAGAATTTCTGAATGAAAAAGGAGTTGCTTTAAAAAAGTGATTAAAATGTCGAAATAAAATTGTACGTTCAAATAAAAAATAAGCCACAGCAATTAATTTTTTTTCATAGTGTATTACTGTAATTGCCTAACTAATAAGCTTGAAAAATGAAAAGCGAAACATTCTAATTTAGATAAGCAAAGAGATACACTTACATAATTTTGTAATATTTGGCAATACCAATGTCGTTAGATATCATATGTAATTTATATTTATCTAAAGCAAGATTGCGGCATTTTTAATACAGCGATGACTTTTTCCCATGGAAAGTAGAATATAATATAATAATTATTATTTCAAAGAACAATACGTTGATTTTGTTCTTATTAAAAAAATGATTAAAGTATTTTGAGTGTAAAACCTATGACATTATTAGTTACCAGTTACCATATTTTGAAGAAATATTTAAATTATTAACGAAATTAAATGAGTTATTTTAAATTTATTATTATTATTATTACTATTTATAATAACAATAATTACTTTTATTTACCAGCAGTCGAATTTTTCTTTCATAAACATTAATAACTATAGTAAAAATTTTTTTTATATTAATAATAAAGATTATCATTATCCGCATCACGTTAGAATTGTAGATTAATTGGCAATCCGGCATTATCGCTATATAAACGTATTAATAAATTTTGGGGCAAATTTATTATGATTTTTTATCATTTTGGAATCTGAGCTGCGTATACTATAGGTAAGTAATAAATATTAAAATAAATTATTGATTTATTTTACTGTATGTGTACATATACCAATTAAGTATTTTTTTGACAAATTTTCAAAGATTTTCTTAAATAAATTAGGAAAGTATCTCAAGAAGTATGGCAAGCCGTACTAAGTCAAAAGGTTGATAACTTTTCATCATGTTGATCATATTTTTCATCATATTTTATGATGTTTTTCACCATGTGACATGAAATTTTTTCATCATGTGTTGAATAATCTTCATCATGTTTCCTAATATGAAATTAAAAATGTCTTGCCAAACTACTGGTTTTTTGATGTTCAGATTTAGAAAATAAGAAATTTTTTTTTTACAAACTTAGAAATTTACCGATTTTCTGGTATTTTGCCATTACACAAATATATATCACATAAAAAATTTATCACATCACGTTAACAG